CAGATGATTGTATTCTCCAAACTTTCTGGTGTACTTCTCTACTTAAAGTACCTTGGTTTGTGAGTATAATTTGTCCTGGAAACATGCTTGTAATCCAAAGCACTTGTATATCAAAGTGAATTTCATGAACCATTGGCTCAGTTGTGATCATGTGACATTTGGCATCATGTACTACTTGTATTGCAAGACCGCTCACTTATCAAGTTAAAATTTATTAGAAATGTTTGCTCATCTTGCAGAACACTCGCAGACCAAGTTACTCACAATCCAAGGTTTTACTGCACTGTGATAACATGGGTGAACATTCTCTTGTACACACCTGATCTCCAACAGTTCAGTGTTATTTGCTTAGCAAGAGAGCTGTCAGTCTCCAAGGCTTGCTAACTAGCTGCCTTCTGCAATGGAACTGACCATAACCCAAGTTATAAATAGCTGGATTTTCCTAGATACGCAGAAAGGTTTCACATTTATTATATCCTCAACTTTGCCCTTCAATCAAAATGCTAAAAATTAAATAACTCTGTAATAGTCTTTGTCTTAAAACTTAACACATGGGATATTTAGCTTTCATATTATAGCAAAATAGAATTTCTGTTGTAATAAAGTGTACTTATTTAATATCAGGAAATGATTTATTATTCAATAAGGTAAAGGATAAAAATTATTATGATTATCCCCAAAAGGCATATGATAAAAACTGAGTTGTCCTTTCTAATAAAATTCATATAAAGATAAAAAGGCCACCCTTTACTATGATCAAAGCTGTCTACCAAACCCCACAGGCAATATGCTACTCATTGAAATGCTGAAGCCATTTCCATTTACATCAGAAAAGAGATGAGGACGAGTACACTTATTGCAGCTATTAAACATGGCTTTAGAAATGTAAAGCAATCGATAGGTCTAAAAAATAACTGATGTAGGGGCACCTGGGTGGCTCAGTCGGTTAAGCACCTGACTTCGGCTCAGGTCATGATCTTGCGGTTTGTGAGTTTGACCCCCGCATCGGACTCTGTGCTGACAGCTCAGAGCCTGGAGCCTGCTTCAAATTCTGTGTCTCCCCCTCTCTGTGCTCCTCCCATGCTCATGCTCTGTCTCTCTCTGTCTCTCAATAATAAATAAATGTTAAAAAAAATTTTTTTTAAATACCTGATGTAAACAATGGAAAGGAAGAGTCAGAATTATTTCTATTTAAATCATATATTTGCACATCTGTATAAACCAAGACACTTTAGGAAAATATTCTTTGGTATGATGACTAATTATAAGATACATATATATTTAAGGAGAGCACTTGTTGGGATGAGCAGTGGGTATTATATGTAAATGATGAATTAGTAAATTCTCCTGAAACCATTATTATACTATATGTTAACTAACTTGGATTTAAATAAAGTAAAAAAAAAAAGATACAGATATAAAAATTAACACTTTTCTATATAAGCTATAATCAGTTAAAATGAATTATATATATCTATATATCTATATATATTTAGTTTCAAAGTCATGAAACACAAGTTCTGAACAAGAAAGCAATGAGATCATATGAAATATTACAAAATTTTACTAAAGGGAATATAATAAGATCTGAAAAATCAGTGTGAAAGACCGTGTTTCTTTTTTTTTTTAAGTTTATTTATTTATTTTGAGAGAGAGAGAGAGCGAGCCAGGGAGGGGCTGAGAGAAGGAGAGAGATCCCAGGCAGGCTCTGCACCATCAGTACAGAGCCTGATGTGGGACTCGAACCTGCGAACCATGAGATCATGACCTGAGTGGAAATCAAGAGTTGGACACTTAACCAATGCCCCAGCCATGTTTCTTGTTGGAAAGATTTAATAGAATAAAAATTCAAATAGGGGCGCCTGGGTGGCTCAGTCGGTTAACCATCTGACTTTGGATCAGATCATGTCATGATCTCGCTGTTCATGAGTTCAAGCCCTGTATCAGGCTCTCTGCTGTCAGCACAGAGCCCACTTCAGATCCTCTGCCTCCCTGTCTCTCTGCCCCTCCTGTGCACATGTGCTCACGCTCTCTCTCTCGAAAATAAATGAACATTTAAGAAAAATAAAAATTCAATTAATAATATAAATAGTTGATATAATTCTAAGAAATAGAAGAACAAATACCTGAGATTAGGCACAAAAAGAAAAAAAGCATGGTGGGAGCTTGGATTACCATATTTAAAAATATTGTATATTCTTAAAAATATTGTATATTCTAGTTACTGTAATACTTCAAAATTTAAATTGTGCAAATAAACATTACACATTGCAACTCTTTAGACTATATAAATATACAACAAATGAGTCCAGAAGATGGGGCTAGATCATGTCTTTTGAAAATTGTGTTTTCTTAGATTTGAGATATAACAGACCCTAGATATATCATTAATTGAAAGCAGGTTAGATGGGCTAAATGGGTGATGGGTATTAAGGAGAGACTTGTTATGATGAGCACTGGGTGTTATATGTAAGTGTTGAATCACTAAATTCTACTCCTGAAACAAACAAAAGTAAAAAAAAGAAAGAGAGCAGGTTAGGTCCTGGACAATCTGGGTAAATTATATGGTAGTAAACTCTAATACAGTGGTAGGTTTGATTTCTTAATTATCAGTTAGGATTTTCACATCCCTCTTTGGATTTTTTAAAACATGTTTACTTATTTGAGAGAGAGAGAGAGAGAGAGCACGAGCACAAGCAGGGGAGGAACAGAGAGAGGGAGGGAGACACAGAATCTGAAGTAGGCTCCAGGCTCTGAGCTGTCAGCACAGAGCCCTACAAGGGTCTTGAACCCATGAACCGTTAGATCATTACCTGAGCCAAAGTCAGGCACTTAACTGACTGAGCCACCCAGATGCCCCTACATCTCTTTTTATAAATAAAGATGTAAAAAGTCCTTTACATTGGCCTTTTTTTTTTTTAATGTAGGCTCTATGCCTGATGTGGAACCCAGAGCAGGGCTTGAACCCACAAGCCTGAGATCAAGAGACGCTTAGCTAACTGAGCCACCCACCCAGGTGCCCCTACATTTCTTTTTCAGTAGGCTTCACACCCAATGCAGAGCCCAATGTGGGTCTTGAACTCAGAACTCTGAGATCAAGACCTGAGCTGAGATCAAGAGTCTGATCTTAACTGACTGAGCCATCCAGGTGCCCGCCAAATTGGCTTTTGATGTTAATTATGTACTCTGTATTTTCTTGCTAGGGCTGCCATAACAAGTATCACAGACTGGGTGGCTTAGACAACAGAAATTTATTGTGTCATAGTTATGAGGGCTAGAAGTCTAAGATCAAGGTTTGGTTTCTTCCGAGGCCTCTCTCCTTGCCTTACAGATGGCTGTCTTCTTGTTAGGTCTTCACCTGGTCTTTCATTTGTGCACGTGTATTCCTGGTGTCTTTGTGTGTCTAAATTTCCTCTTTTTATAAAGACATCAGTCAGGTTGGATTAGGATCCACCCTAAGTGACTCATTTTAATTTAATCATCTTTTTTAATAGCCTTATCTCCACAGAGTCACATTTTGAGGTATTGGAGGTTAGGTCCTCAACATGGATTTGGGGGGACATAATTCAAACTATAACATACTCTTTGCCCTATTTAACTATCCAAGTTTTAGTGACCTCTTATATAAGTTGGTAAGCATTCTATTTTTTTCCCAGGCTCTGGAAGAATTTATATAATATGTAAATTATCTATTACTTTCAGTATTGGCATTCTGTGTTCTTAAAAACATCTGGCCTTTTAAGGGGTTAGATTGTTAAATATTTTAATTTTTTTCCTGTTGGTTATGTTTTATTCAGGTTTTCTACTTCTTCCTGAATAAAATTAGGTTATTTTTTTAGAAAATGATTAATTTCATGTAGATCAGTAGTTGCCAACTGGGGGCAATTTTACCCTCCACTCTACTCCAGACCTTTAGGCGATGTCTGGAGACATTCTTATTTGTCAGAATTAGAGGGAAGGGGAGAATACTGACATCTAGTTAGCAGAGGACAGGGAGGCTACTAAACACTGTATACTATACAGGACAGCCCCCTATAACAAAGAGTTATCTGATCCCAATGTCAGCAGTGTGAAAATCCTGCTCTAGACGTTCAAATTTACTTGTATAAAGTAGTGGAATGGTTAAGAAGAATCTCGGTTTATAGAGTTAAATAAAACTCCTCATTTATAATGTCTTTAGTTTTTAATTTTTTTCTTGACCACGCCCATATTCTGACCTCTAGAAAGAACACTTCTGGATTTGGACTAAATCTAAACTTGACTTGATTTAATCTCTATCTTTTATTAATTCATTATCTTCTCTTGTTTTGAAAGTTATTTTATTTGCTTTCTACCTTGTTTTATGCATAGTTTGTTTTTCTGTTTATTAAATTATATCCATGTATCAAAGGATATACATTTTCCTATCAGTACAGATTTGGATCACATTACACACCTTTTGATATGTACTACTCTCAATACCATTCATTACTAAAAATTCTGTATTGTTTACTTTTAGTTTCTTCCTTAAATTACCAAGTTGATAGCGTGGTATTTTGTTTTAGATCAACTTTTTTACTTGATTTATCATCTTATTGCCTTTCTGTCAGAGTTTTTCTTTTGATGTTCAATAAAAGATAAGTGGTTACTGATGACTTTCCTATATTTTTTGTATTAAAGAATGTTTTTATAATGCCCTAATGTTAAGTAAAATCCTGGTAACTGTTTCCTACATTTGTTACAATCATTATAAAGACTCTTTATAATGTAGAATAAAGTATAAACTTAAACTAAGTTTTTCCTCATTATTTACATGAGTATAATTTCATGCTAATATAAATCACTGACATGATAAATAAGAATTAAGATAAATAAAAATTTATTACATATTACATTCATGTGCCCTTTCTCCTGAATGAATTCTCTGATGCCTTCCTATACTTGCTATATTCACAGAGTTCTCATCTGGTAATTCTCTGATGTCCCATAAGAGTTTACTTAGAAGCAAAATACTACATTCATTACAGTACTAGAGATTTTCTTTCTCCAACATGAATTTTCTCATGTCGAATAAGACATGAACCACGGATAAAGGCTTTCCCACATTCTTTACATTCATAGGGTTTCTCACCAGTATGAATTATCTGATGATGAATAAGTTGTGATCCTTGACCAAAAGATTTGCCACATTCCTTACATTCATAAAGTTTTTCACCAGTATGAATTCGTTGATAGTGTGCGAGTTCCCTGTTATGACTAAAGGACTGTCCACATTCCTTACATTCAAAGAGTTTTGCTCTTAAATGAATTTTCTGATGTCCGATAAGATTTGAGTGGTAACGGAAGGCTTTATTACAATTGTTACATTCATAGGGTCTTTCTCCGGTGTGAATTCTCTGATGTTGAATAAGGATTGAGTGGTGATGGAAGGCTTTCCCACATTCACCACATTCATAGGGTCTTTCTCCACTGTGAACTCTCTGATGTCCCTTAAGAATTGAAGTGTTGCTAAAAGCCTTCCCACATTCTTTACATTCATAGTGTTTTTCTTTAGTATGTGTTTTTTCATGTCGAATGAGGGATGAGTGGTAACTGAAAGCTTTTCTACATTCTTTGCATTCATAGGGTTTCTCTCCAGTATGAATTCTCTGGTGTAGAGTAAGGTGTGAGCCACGACTAAAAGCCTTTCCACATTCCTTACATTCATAGGGTCTTTCTCCAGTATGAATTCTCTGATGTCGAATGAGATTTGAGGGGTGGTGGAAAGCTTTCCTACACTCATTACATTCATAGAGTTTGTCTCCATTATGAATTCTCTGATGTCCAGTAAGTTTTGGGAAACTGCTAAAAGCCTTTCCACAATGCTTACATTCATAGCATTTTTCTGTAGTATGTCTTCTCCCATGGTGAATTAGCAGTGAGTGGTAATTGAAGACTTTCCCACATTCTCTGCATTCATAGGGTTTTTGCCTAGTATGATGTATCTGATGTAGACTATAGGATGTTTGTTGACTGAGACTTTGCATATTTTCATGGGTGACTGTCACAGGTTTAAGATATTCTTCTTTATTTCCCTGTTCTGTCTGAAAATGGTGATTATACTTCCAATCATCTTGAAAAATGGAACATCCAAATTCATGGGTTGGAAGTCTTTCCATTACCTTCCACTGAGATGACTTTATTTTATAACTGTCATCATTTGGTGATAACTCCTTTGTTGCACATTGGGATTTCATATCTGAGAAGTAATGAGAAAGAAAGTGTGCATTTTTTTCCAGTTCCTGGAACAACAAAATTTCTGAACAGGAATATGAACACATTACCTATAAGAAATTGATGGCTTGACAAGATCTCAAATATAACTATGGAAGGTGAGCATAGTGTGGACACAGGTGATTAAAGAAGCAGGGTAACTGTTTCTAAAATGTTGCTTCAGATCAGAATTACTGGAAAACTTGTTAAAAACAGAAATGGGGGCGCCTGGGTGGCGCAGTCGGTTGGGCGTCCGACTTCAGCCAGGTCACGATCTCGCAGTCCGTGAGTTCGAGCCCCGCGTCGGGCTCTGGGCTGATGGCTCGGAGCCTGGAGCCTGTTTCCGATTCTGTGTCTCCCTCTCTCTCTGCCCCTCCCCCGTTCATGCTCTGTCTCTCTCTGTCCCCAAAATGAAACGTTGAAAAAAAAAATTAAAAAAAAAAAAAACAAAAACAGAAATCGTACAAGTATCACTTGAAAGCAATTGAATCAAACTACAGGAATAGACCTTAGCTTTAAGAAAAATCTCTACAGGCGCCTGGGTGGCTCAGTCAGTTAAGTGTCCAACTTCGGCTCGGGTCACGATCTCATGGTTTGTGGGTTCGAGCCCGCGTCGGGCTCTGTGCTGACAGCTCGGAGCCTGGAGCCTGCTTCGGATTCTGTGTTTCCCTCTCCCTCTGCTCCTCCCCCGCTCCTGCTCTGTCTCTCCCTCTCCCTCAAAAATAAATTAAAAAACATTAAAAAAAAAAAAAAGAAAAATCTCTAGTGATTCTGATGTAGCCTGAAGTTGGAAAATCATTAAGGTTTTCCTCTGTACTTAGTATAACATTTGAATAACTTACCATTAACTCAAAGGTGATGTCATGATCTGGCCCTGGCTAACATATCATTGAACTATGCTCTTCCCCAGTTCACTATGCTATGTTCCAAGAGCAGATAAAATACTTTTCTATATTAGTGTGATTTCCACTGCTGTTCTCTCTAGCAGGTATTGTTTTTGTTTTTCAATTTTTTAAAAATTTTACTTAAGTGATCTCTCCACCCCATGTGGGGCTCAAACTCAAGACACTGAAATCAAGAGTCATATGCTGTTCCAACTGGGCCAGCCAAGCACCCCATTTGGAGGTACTGTCTATCCTTGTATGGCTGGCCCCTTCTCACCCTTCTTGTCTCAGTGTAAATATAATTACAAATAACACTAAAAATCCCCCCTCTCAAACTGTGTCGGACAACACCAATCTTATTCTAGTGCCCAAATGACTAATCATAACCTTCACGATTTTTCTCATCTATTTTTTCTCATTTTCTATGCTAGACTATAAGATTCCTATTGGAAAGCATCATGTCTGTTTAACACACTACTATTTAATTAGCTTTTAGCACAATATCTACCATATAACAGGTGTTCAATAAATAGCTATTGAATGGTGACGATTAAGGAAAAGGAATTAGAATGGGAATATAGGAAAATATCAGGAAATTAATAGGGAAAACAATTAAGTTCCACAGTCATTATTTTAGAAGAATCTTTACGGTGTTTTACGCATTGTGGCAAAATTACATAACCAAAGTTTCATGTAATTATGAACATATAGATTTGTTGATGTAGGAAAACTAGAGGATACCCTCCAATGGGACAAAGGGTGTCTCAGTGGCTAATGAGCTAGAAACTAATAAAAAGAATGTTGGGTCTTAGTTGATGGGGCAAGATGATGGCAATACAATGTGGAGAATATCCTGGGGAAATTTCAAAGGGCGGAATGAGTCAGCTATGAGCAGATAACAAGGAGGTAGTTTTTGTGTCTAGAGTAGATACTATATAAAACACCATTTGCCTGGCATGTGATGATATTGGCCAAGGATAAGAAACAAGTAGCCTCATCAATGGCAACAGCCACTGACAGTCTGAAGTAAAAGCAACTTTCAGATAGCATGACAGAATAAAATGCACAGTGGCATGGTGGGAATATCCAAGGAACTGTATCATAGAGACTGGATTTCAAGTCTCAGTTCTCTAATTACAAGGTTTATGTCACTGGAAGAATTATTTACAATCCATAAGTACCATTTCCATATCTGTAAAATGATGGTAATGCTTAACATAGGTTAATTGCTAAAATTAACAGTAATTTAGAGCGAGACTGAGAAAAATAATGGTAACTGTTTGAAGCTCAGTGATAGGTACATCATTATTTTTGCAAATACTTGAAAATTTCTGTAATAAAAAGAAAAGAAGAGAATAACTTGGGTAAAGTCCCTGGAAAAAATTAAATGCTTAATAAGTAGTAATTACAATAAAGGAAAAAAATATTTTCACAAAAATGACAAAAGTGGACAAGGGAAATTATTTTGAAGACATCAAAGTAGTGCCAGGCTGAGAGGCATAAGCCAAAAGGTAAACATTATTCTGGTATCAACTTCTTCAACATTCAGAAAGTCTTGTCTAGCTCTTAAACAGGTCTTCACTTTTTTTTTTTCTCATTTCTTGATATCCACTGCCAATACTCAAACCGAAGCATAAATGATTTCTCAAATAAGAAAATATTTGCAAAGCATTTATCTGATAAGGGGTTAATATCCAAAACATATAAGGAACTCATTTAACTCAATGGCAAAAAAAAAAAAAAAAAAAAAAAAATAGTGTGATTAAGAAGTGGGAAAAGGACCTAAACAGACATTTTTCCAAAGAAGACATAGAAATGTCCATGAAAATATGCTCAACATCACTGGGGAAATACAAATCAAAACCACAATGAGATATCACCTCACACCTGATAGAATGGCTATTATCAAAATGACAAGAAATAACAAGTGCTGACCAGGATGTGGAGAAAAGGGAACCCTTGCACACTACTGGTAGGAATGTAAATTGTTACAGCCACTGTGGAAAATTTGAGGTTGCTCAAATGATTAACAATTGAATTACCATATGATCCAACAATCCTACTCCTGAGTATGTATTCAACGGAAATGAAATCACTATCTTGAAGAGATATTTGCACCTCCATGTTCATTGCAACATTAGTTGCAAAAGCCAAGACCTGGAACAACTTAAGTGTCCACTGACACATGAATGATAAAGAAAATGTGGTGTTTACATATACAATGGGATGTAATTCAGCTATAAAAAAGAAGGAAATCCTGCCATTTGTGACAACATGGATGAACCTTGAGGGCATTATGCTGTGAAATAAGTCATATGGAGAAAGGCCAGTATTTCATGATCTCATTTATATGTGAAATCTAAAAAGCCAAACTCATAGAAACAGAGTAGATTGGTGCTTGCCAGGGGCTAAGGGTGGAGGCAATGGAGAGATGTTGATCTATGGGTAAAAACTTCCAGTTATAAGATAAATAAGTTCTGGAATCTAATGTACAGCATGGTGATCATAGTTAATACTGTATTGTATACTTAAAAATTGCTGAGAGGTAGGGCGCCTGGGCGGCTCAGTCGGTTAAGCGTCTGACTTCGGCTGAGGTCATGACCTCATGGTTTGTGGGTTTGAGTCCTGCATCAGGCTCTGTGCTGACAGCTCAGAGCCTGGAACCTGTTTCATGTTCTGTGTTTCCCTCTCTGTCCGCCCCTCCCCAGGTCGCACTCTGTCTCTATCTCTCTCAAATATAAATAAAAATTTTTAAAAAATTGCTGAGAGAGTAAATTTCAAATGTTCTCACCACGCACATGCACACGCACACACACACACACACACACACACAAAGGTAATTATGTGAGGTGATGTGATAATTAACTTTATTGTAATCATTTCACTGTATATACGTGTGGCAAATCATTATGTTGTACATCTTAAACTTACACAATGCTATATGCCAATTATATCCCAGTAAAGCTGAAAAAATTAATCTCTCATCTGAATTGCAGTAACTCCTGTATGGTCTCTTTAATTTCACCCCCACCACCAGTGGCAATGATTGCTACTTGATACCCAATATATCATCTTCCTTTTTGTTCCTTAATAACAGAATCCTGATTTAAAATTTTTTTTCATTTTATTTATTTGAGAGAGAGGGGGAGGGAGAGGAAAGGACAGAGAGAGGAGGAGAGAGAAAATCCCAAGCAGCCTCTGCGCCACCATGGGGCTCGACCCCACAACCCTGGAATCATGACTTGAGACGAAACCAAGAGTTGGACACTCAACCAACTGAGCCACTCAGGTACCTGCAGAATCCTGATTTTAAATGAAGCAGCAATGTGCCCAGCTGAAAGACTATCCATGCAGTTGAGTGTGTCCATGTGATTAAGTTCTGGTCCCTGAGATATATGCAAAAGTTTTGTGTGGTACTTTCTATGGTATTTTCTGAGAGGATTACTTGAAGAGAGCTGACTCCAATGAGAGATGTACACTTCTTGTCCTCTACCACCTCTTTCTTCCTTCCTCTTTTCAGAATGCAGATGTGTTTGCTGGAGTGGCAGTAGGCTTTTCAGATCATGAGATCACCTTGAGGATGGGAATGTCAAAGAAAAACTGTAGGGCGCCTGGGTGGCTCAGTTGGTTGAGCTTCTGACTTCGGCTCAGGTCGTGATCTCACAGTTCTTGGGTTCGTGCCCCACGTTGGACTCTGTGCTAACAGCTCAGAGCCTGGAGCCTGCTTCGGATTCTGTGTTTCCCTCTCTCCCTGCCCCTCCCCTGATCATGCTCTGTCTCTCAAAAATGAATAAACGTTGGGGCACCTGGGTGGCTCAGTCGGTTAAACGTCTGACTTCAGCTCAGGTCATGATCTCACAGTTCGTGAGTTCAAGCCCCCCGTCAGGCTCTGTGCTGACAGCTCAGAGCCTGGAGCCTACTTCAGAT